CTCTTCTAAGGACTCACACACATCCATCAAACAAAGCATCGATTGGTCTGGATCTGTCGGCGAGGCGACAAGTGAGTCAATAGCCTCGGCCATCATCTAAAATGGTGAGGGTGTGTCCACCACTTCAGCCCGAGTAGGAGCAGCTAATACTCCTACTGGCCGGATGTGTTTTCCCCAGGATGCGCTCGCAGAAGCACTACCCAAGGATGAAGATGGAACCGGCCCAACTGTGGGCAGCACCTTCGTCACGACTTTCTTGTTCTTGCAACGCGCAATGGTGGGACCATATTGGCCATAGTTAATGCATGCGCCCCTAACACAGCAGCCATGCCACACATCCTCCTCCAAACCCGCTTTGACCCAAGCTGGTGTGTTGGGGTATACCCTTGACTCCTAGGGCGCCTTCCGTTATGCTTACCGGTCCCCTTAGCCTTTCTCACAGGTGCCATGACTCCACCCTCAGAAATCTCTTGGGCCACAACCTGCTCTGCCTCCTCCCCAAGATCAGCCATATCTTCCACCTCCTGTTCAGTGCCATCGGCATCGATGTATAGAAGATGGCCCCCTTTTCTTCTTCCAATCCTTGGGGATCTTCTTCATTGTCCTGTTTGTCGGCTGCACGCTTCCAAGCTTTGCCTCCAAGGCCTTCTTACTAAAAGAATGGAAATCGTGCGTATCGATGGAGGCCTCACTGACTAACATATTCTTCACATCTGTATGAAGGCATCTCCAGTATGTAGTCATGAGGATCTGAGGGTCAAACCACACCCCCGGGACAACAATCAGTCTCTCTACAACGTCGGTAACATCGCAGACAGATCTGTACTTCCTGGAGTCCAGCTTAGTCAACACATTACCAACGTCATAAAATCCTCCTGACTTCGGGCCTGAGCCCAACCGTTGAAATTACGACCGTATCCATCGTGTTGTACTAACCCATCTGACCACCTTGCTGCAGAGCCTTCCAAGTAGGATGCAGGCGCAATTACCTCTTGCTCAGGTCGCAGATGCTTGTTCCTCACGTAGGTTGGGACAGTCCTCAACCAGGTGTTGAGGTTCTCCTCCTTTCTCTCGTCTCCCGAAAAAGGCTCTGGAGCTGCCAACACTATTTTAGGAACCCATTGGCCCTGCGGTCCAGCAGCCTGTGCCTACTGTGAAGGTTGTGGTACCTGCTGCTGCTGCCCTATAGCTGCAGCAGCTGACTGGGAAGAAGAACTGCCTGAGCCCGCATACTACCTGGTAACGAACCACCTGATGGATATATACCAAACTGAAGGTAAAAGAGACTTGCCGTCGCTGGTAACATCATCGGCGGTGTGACTGCAGGCTGCCGCCTGACACTGGGTGCTGCGGTTGTGGAAGGAACTTGTCTTCCAACCCCTCTTGGGGCTTTCAGGATCTGGTCGAGCACGGAGAGTATCCAACGTGCTGTCCTGGACAGCTACGGTCTCGTAGATGCCAAGTACTGCCGCCTTTTAAGGCTCGCTCACTGTCTGTGAGATGAGAATCGTCCAATCCCTCTCTCCTGCTCTTGTCCGCTTGTCTGGCCTCTAGTCTGGCTTTGTGTGTCCTAGCTCTTCTTGCTCTATGCGTCCTGTGCTTCAGCTTGTAACCGAGTGTGGAGAGCCTTTACCTCTCGGATCTCGAGGTCTTCCTATGTAAGGGGAACTCGCAGGCTGGACTGCACACCAGCCATCTGACTCGAGGCTGTACCCCTGACTTACACCTACAGCGGAAGACAATGCTACAGTCTGTGTGGACAGCGCTTGCTGGGCCTGCTAGGCCGCTGCCGCTGCGCCTGCCATTGCTAGCGAATGCTCCGCTGCTGCTGCTGACTCTCTTGCCACTTGCGCATGCTGGGCAACACTTTCTGCCCGCAGCTCTCTCTTCTCCTGGTGGCAACGCCTGGAACACAACAGGCTGGCTACAAGCAGCCTGTCACAACAACCTCCCGTCAGCTCTCTGCCCCTCGCTACTGCCCTCACTCATCAGCTACCGTAGATCGCAATCTGCACTAGTATCCTCACTGGGACCTACCACAGCTCTGACCGATTTGTAAAATAATTAAATATAAATAAGTGGTCAGTCCTGTATTTCAGAACGCAGTTCAGGTGGTGTGACCAGAAGTACACATACTCTTGCACATGATCTAATTCCTACTCAACTAGTTCTGGAACAGATGTGAACCAGAAAAGAATAAAAGTTATAAAACTAAAATAATATGTTCTGTCTATGGCTGTCTGTCAAATGTCAGCATTCTGTAACATCTATACTAATCACAGCAGAAACGAATTCACATGCATGGATATATACCGTATGGAATGACAAAATTGTAATGAACGAGCTAAGAATTTGAACCCACCATCCTTCTGGATCCTCCCTGATTGTCTTTGTTCCCAATGACGTCCTAGAAGCAATCTGACAGCCCATGGCCAAAGGTGTGCCTAACGCCCTGCCCCTGTACCCCAGGTAAGTAATGAGCTGACCAGCCCCGTCCATAATATTTTTTGCCTCACGTACAGTGCAAGTTGATTGTCCTGCCTGAGTGTCTTTAACGAAGGTCCAGTACTCTTCGATCCCCCATAGGCCTGGCCTGCCCAGAACCTCCTCTATTGCGCAGCAAAGCATCAAAGGACAATGCAGCAAAGCATGCATGCTCTGCTCGCACGGGTTGTTGGCATGGTGACCGTGACACGTGCTTCGTCCAGGGTCCTTCAGATAGCACTGCCCGTCTCCGAAGAATGTTGTCTCTCAAGGTTGAGTGCACTCAACACCTCACACAAGAAAGGACTCTCAAGAAGAGATCACTTCCTCACAGTAAGCAGTGACAAGGACGGTAGATAAGGTTAGAGACAACGTTCCTCAATTGCTTCCCCCAACCATAGATTTCTCACCAGTTAAGCTGTCGTGGATTCCGATGACCGGTCATTGCATCAGCACCACCAACATTGCAATGCAGTGCCAAGTCAGCATGCTCTCATCGCACGACATATACCCAATATGTTGCCACAGCGCCTTCCTGGTGTGCCCACTTAACCCTGGGCCGCCTACAAATCCAGCGCAAAAGTACCTCCACTGCCGTGCATAGCCATGCAAAGCACCGTATGACTCATGCACTGACGGGTGCCAGCAGAGCGCCTCGAACCAGTCCCAATACCAAATTGCAAGGAATATGAGCGAGAGCTAAATGACAGAAATCCAAACCGCAACATCACATTGAAAGCAAGATAGTCGAACGCTGTCCAGAAAGCCAAAAGCACCAAGTTACACCCCAATGGAGACCAAAGCAATGAACTCAGTCCTCAATGTGAGCCCCTCCCGCCACCATCAACAATATATCCGATGTCGCTTCTCCTATTGGCGCCAAGCGCGCAGGCTAAAAATCACACAGCACCTAACTAGCCTACACTACCATGACAATGCAACTGGAAACCACAGCAGCAGACCAATAGTACGTGAAGATGCCGTCCATGCAGATCTCCATGGCACAACCAGGTACGTCATCTCTCTCTCTCTCTCTCTCTCTCTCTCTCTCTGTCTCTCTCTCTCTCTCTCTCTGTCTCTGTCTCTCTCTCTCTCTCTCTCTCTCTCTCTCTCTCTCTCTCACACACACACACACACACACACACACACACACACACACACACACACACTCTTGACTTTCCCACACGGTATCCTCTTCTCCAAGGACCTCCGCCGAACCCCACTGGCAATAACGAGCTCAAGCCCGGCTATGGCTGAGCTTTGGCGCTGCGCCCATCAGCGCCCACCACCTGCGCCAACGTGCGCGTTGACCTGCCTGCTAGTGCCTGCCCTGTCGCCCATCAAAGTGGCAGGGCTACCGCAACATCAGCGAGTCAGAGAATGTCCCACTGGGCGGCATGCACTTTCCTTTATGGAAAGTGTTTGTCGCGTGTGGGCATGGTAGCTTCCAGATGGCATCTGCACCCAGGGCCATTTCCAGAATGTGCCCTGGGCTCGACAGTTGACATTGTCCAATGGTACGACATGTCAAGTATTGCACACTGCGTTCTCATTGGTTGGACGCTTGCATGTGACATGTCGGCCATCGGGCACTCGTCGAAACTTCCAGGGCCTGGTCACACAGCCAGGCCTGATGCAGATCGCGGGCTTGCCCGCCAGGCTTAGGAAAATCCAGCCCCAAGTCAAAGCTTACGCCTGCTTTGACTGGACGAGGGCACTCATAGGCCGCAGACCTCTGCGAAAGGTCAAATCCCGCACATTTTTTACTATTCGCTGGAAAACCGGTCGAGCATCTCCTACAAAGTTTACCTACGTATGCTTCTCTCTTTCATGGTTGACATATCCTCAGACTGCAGCATACATTGCTTCACAAGCGAGAAGGATTCACCACTGCTCTACCCCTGCTTTCTTTAGTACGCCACTGGTTCCGTGGCCCTAGTTGGGGTGCTCCTCTCAGTCTTACTGGTTCCGTGGCCCTTTCTTACTTGAAGAGTTATGTTTCCTTCTGCTTACTTTCTTCGGGAAGACCCTGTTTTCTATTCATTTGCCTTGAGCGGAGTCTCGGTCCTTTTTCTTAAAATGGTTGCTGAATCCTTCATTTATTTCCATATATGCACTCCTCGCTCTCCCTTCGTTCTTGTACCTCGCTCTCTTGACCTTGCCACCAGTTCTTGAATTTTAGCCCATGCCATGTGAAGTGTTCTCTTGTCTCAATCTGTGGCATGCTGATTAAGGTCATCTATGTCACCGTAATCTCTCACAATGCCTTTGCGAACTTAACTCCAGTTTGCGTCAATCTTCCCAGTGAGTCCCATTGAGGAGATTAGCAAGGCATCTGCGCAAATATGACATGCACGACCTGAGGAAAGGTCCATAAATAAAACATTTAATTCAATTGCATACAACAGTTACAACCCACATCACGGGATGGATAATCAGAGTCCTCATGCAGTCCTGAGTGGAACTGAAAGTCGTGCAAAGTAACAATGTAAAAAGGAGGGTATCTTGCAACCAACCTTTGCGTATTTTGATAGCCTATCTTCAAATTCCGCACAAGATGGGTTCTTAGCAGCAAACTTATCCAAGATGGTTGTCTTATCTTGCTTCCAAAGATGCTGGTGTTTGCGCCAGTTCTCAATAAATCTACCATGACAGAACATGCACAAAAGGTCCTCTGCCATCAGTGGCTGCAATCCCCCACCACCGCTTTTCAGTGGCTACCTGTTCTTGTCCTCCACTAGTTGCCCAACATATCTCTCACGTGTCTTAAAAAAAAAAGAAAAAAGAACCGGGATAACACTGCATGAGTCTTCTTTTCCCTCTTTGGGAACATCTCACTTCCATAATGAGTTTGTTTAACGTTTTTCGTGGCCATGATTGCAAACTAATTGGGAAACCATAAAGAAAGGCTTTAGCTTTCATGCACACCAGCAGCCATGGTCAACAGTGAGGCTTTGGTGACCACGATTTTAACTTATGAGATCTTAGTCCGAGCATTGTTTTGGCAAGCCATGAGGGGCTTCCTTCCAGCCTGAAAGGTTGAAAGGGAAGATTCTCAACGCTAGCCTTCAGATCGTAATAGCAAAGAAATCAGAAAGCCGTTTGCAGCTGAGAGGAGCACTACAGAAACTTCTCTCTTCAGTGATGTAAAAACACTTTCCAAAGAGTTGGGACAGGTGGAGCATAGATAAATCCTTCAAACTTAGGAAGCAATCAATGCCGCTGTCTCAGGGTCCAAGGAAGCGTGGAGAGGATAATCATGTAAGGGATCAGGGTCACCAGCCCGTACATACGGACGTCCCCGGGCCGACCTCCGTACGTATGGTTCGGGGTCCCTCCGTACGTATGGTTCGGGGTCCCGTTCAGGGTCCAAACCCGAACGCGTTTGGCCCTCGCAAAAAAATATTTCAGGGCCTAACATAAATTCTTTTTCTGAATTTTTTTTTTTTGGTGAGTTCTCTATGATGTGAGGTACATGCCTATAAATTTTAAAGTCATTTTGCTAAGCCAAACAAAAATAAAAAATCGCCAAAGATGGCGGTGTCAAAACGTGCTCGCCCACTCAATATTTTGTTTTTTTTCACTTTTTACTTTCACTTTATTGCGGGGCCTAAACAATTTTATTATTTTTTGAAAAAATTTTAATGACTTTTGTATTATGTGAAGTACACATCTGTACATTTTCAGGGCATTTGGCTATGCCAAAAAAATAAAAATAAAAAAAATTGCCAAAGATGACAGTGTCGAAAACGAGCTCGCTCACTCACTAATTTTAATTCTCTTTTCACTTTTTACCAATGGTCCGGGAGCCGGTCGTCTCCCCCGGACGTCTCCTCGGACGTCCGTGGTCCGGGTCGTCCAGATTTCCGGACGACGGCTTTTCGGGGGGGGGGG